GGAACCTCGTGTTTCTATCCCCGGACAACCTAATTTATTCTCGATTTCTGCCTCCATAATATTCAAAGCAACCGTCAATGGCCCATTGATCTGAGTGAGCGCTCCTAAGTTCTTGAAGTTGAATGTCGAGCGTCCGTCTGGAAACCAGTGCAACCTGCGTTTCCTAGTGAAATCCGAGGTTGCGCCGCAAGTACAACTTCAAAACCATACGTGCACTCAGTTGTCTAGATTCTTTCGCGAGCTCTAGCGTGTGAATCTTCTTTTTCAGACTCATACATTGCACGTCAAGATTACCAAAATTCATTCGTAGAGTTTCACTCTTTGAGCTTGGTACGAAGACAACTCAGCCTCTTGATTACCTTAAAGAGCCCAGGAGCAATCTAGCAACCTTCAGTAAATAAATTCTGCAGGTGATTATCAAAATTAATGTAAGTTAACCAGCAATTAAGAAATCCAAAAGGCCTCCTTCCCCAGCTAATTCAACATTGCTGAAAATATGACACATGTAAAACCAGTCCTCACAAAACATCCAAAAGTAGTCATCCATCTTGCACAAAATTCAACATTACTAACCTTAATGTCATTCCACAATAATATTCTATTACACTTTTGTGTTAAAGAATTATAAAGATGTTAGTAAATATATAAAAATTTTATTTTTAAAGAATTTATTTTTATTTATTATTAATATTTGAATAAAAAAATTTTAAATGGATAAATATCCAAAATATTATTAAGAATAGTTTATTATTATTCATTATTAAGGTTTGGATAAAGAAATCTCAAATAGGTTAATATCTAAAATATTATTAGTAATAATTTGTTATTATTCACTAGAAATATTTGGATAAAGAAGCCCTGAAAAGATTAATATTCAAAATATTATTGGAAATAATTTGTCATTGTTCATTATTAATATTTTAATAAAATAACTACAAGTGATTAATATCAAAAATATTTTTCTAGAAATAACAAGTCATTGTCCCTTAATAATATAAGGGCAAAGAAACCTATGAAAGGTAAATATCCAAAATATTGTTAAGAGGAATATCACTTGTTTATTTTTAACATAAGGTCAGATTTATACCTAAAATTTTATTTAGAACAATTTAATTGCACATCTTTAAAAGAAGTCTCAATTATAATTGTGAATATTTTAATTTTTGATTTCATAGTTTATAAGTCATGAAAATATAAAATACTAAGGCAAAAATAGGCTTTTAAAACATCTTAAATTTCTTTAGATTTCTAACTTAGTTTTTTTTTCTTTTTCTTATGATTTACGAGTCGTAAACACTTCAAATATTAAGGGAAAAATGAGCTTTTAAGAACATTGAATCTTCTTAGATTTCTATCTTAGCTGTCTCTAAATTCATAGATTCTAAATTTATTTAAAATTAAATATAGACTTGAAGAGGTATGCACCGTTTCTCTTTGATACTCTGTAGATATATCTAAAAGTATGATCCATATTGGTCAAGGGTTATTTCTCTTAGACTTTGAATCCAAGTTCGTTCATCATGGCAGACTTATCCTAGAAAACTGATAGGATTAAAGAACATCAAAACCATAACAATTATAAGGCAAACCAAACACCAAGCGGCTTACCTTAGGTAGGGCGTTCTAGGGGTGTTAAAATATTTTATTTATGCAACCAATCCCTTGCCTTAGAATCTTTGAAAGACCAGTTAGGTTTATTAGTGACCATAATACTAGGCAGCGACTCCTTTTTTTACAAAACAAAGACCACGAAATCAATCCATCGCTCCCAAGAAGGGTCACCGCTACTTCGAGCTCTCAAAAAAGGTACAACAACTTTCATGAAAATTTTTAGAAAGCCCCTCCAAATTAGCAGCATATTGATAAATGAATAGTTCTCAATCTTTAGAATATATCGACGGATACATTTCATCAGTTATACTAGTATGTAATAAACATTGTGAACAGTGCTAGGAAGAAGGGAAACAATTCTCATAATCTCTGAAATATATCGACGAACACATTTCGTTAGTATAACCATATATATTGAATACCGTGGACAATACTAGGAAAAAGCAGAATAGTTCACATTGTATATGAAATATACTGACGAATACATTCTGTTGGCATTTCCATCGGTGTAAAATAATGTGTGATGTCAAATTGTATTTGTATTCTTTACCTTTCTTTCCTTCAAGTATTTAAATTCATTTTTACACACATAGCATAATAACAACAATTCAAATCACAATAATAAAATAAATACTTATTTATCATTCAATAATTAATTAAAATCATTGTCATTATATTAAAATGAATTCTGTCTATAAATATTACTTTATAATTTATGGCATTACACTAGAACTCAAAATTGTCTTCTTCCTCGTCAAATGACTTGTACTTATCTTCATTGCAATCTTCTATATTAATTTCATTGTTATCATCTTCATTAATTTGTGCGCGTATCCACTGAAACTCAAAACATTATTCAACTTTTAAATGTAAATATATATCAACAAAAATATTCTTAAAAATACAAATATTTAAATTTTATTTTAAGTTATGAAACAGAGCAACTCAATATGAATCAGCTAACTTGCCAGGTTGAAAAACATTATCTTTCATAGTTAATTCATCGTTGTCATCTTGAACAACTTCAATACGGTCCCTGGATTTAGTTTTCACTACAAATAATCAATTCACTTTTAAATAATTTCTTTACAATATATATATATATAATAAATTTACTAGTATTGTTTAATAAAAATAAAAACATCATCAATGTTACAAAATCTATTCTTTAAATTAATTTTTATCAATTTGGTAACCACACCATGTACTCTTTTGAAATCTGTTTCCTTGCATGGTCAGCCGCCACAACATCTGCTAGATTTGCTTCAACCTCAGAGACACCACCAATATCACCTGGAGTGTCCTAACATAACAGCTGCAGTTCAGAAGTCTTTTCAATCATCTGGTAAATTTGATCAATAGCTACAGGCATCCATCGAACCATCACAATCTCCCCTTGTGTTTCCCCAGCATTTCCTTCAGCTGAAATCACCTTAACCTTGCGTCTCCTCCTCCTACTAGTGATAGAAATCACAAAGGAGGACACCAGGCCCTGTTTCCACTGTTGCAAAATCAAGCCCAAGTTAACCATTCATAGGACGTGATGGGCTGAAAGCCTAAGGCTGATCAGATTCCTGTGAGTTAGCCTATTTGTTAGAATTCATTTGCTTGAGTCGAAGGAGATGAAAGCATGGTGACCGAAATTCATGGTGGTCAGCCAGTCGTGAGTGTTTATTCCAATAATCAAGTTAATCTAAATTAAATTGATTGATTAAAATTAATAATTTTATATTAAATAAAAATTTTAAAAATTATTTAAAATTTCTCATCAATTCAACTTAAAATAATATTATTTTCAATAAAAAATAAAAAGTAATCATTAAAATTAACTTAATTGGATGTAATTTAAATTTGATGAGTGAATTATATCATGAGATGGCTTGCAAAAATAAATGGCAATAGGTACTCGTGGATTTTATTTTTTGGTATCCATGTCATAAAAAATTTATGTTGACCAGTTAGGGTTCCTAGTAACCATAATACTAGGTGGCGACTCCTTAAACAAAGATCATTCACCATCAAAGAATTGGATGCCAGAAATCCATTCTTTCCATTCCATTATAATTTTTAAGACCGCCGCGATGTCGGGTGCGACATGCATATTAGATAATAAATATTATTCATACGTGTATTTTATATCAAAATTAAAGTGTGTGTATGGGTGTTTTTCAAGTTAGATACGGACAGATTTTAAATCAGATTTAATAATATTTATATCATGTGTATTGATGAGAAAATATCCGCTTGTTAAGGTTGCACATTATCCACGAATTAAAATTAAATTTTCATCCATACGTGCAAGTCACCAGGTTTTCTTGGATCAATTTTCCAACCTGTTCAAAAAAATTCAGCTCAGCCAAGCTCTTAATCAAAAAGTTTCCGCGTTGACGAAAATCCAAGATCTGAAGTGTTCTATAAAATTTAGCTAGTAGAACGCCTAGCAAACTCAAAATCATCGTCTTTAAATTTTTCATCACTGTACCTAGCCACCAAATTCTCTACAAACCCATGATATCCCCCCTCTTTCTTGTCCCTCTCAACCTAAAATCTCCACTCTCACAGCTTGTAACAGTAGCAGATAACTATGGCTGAAATCTTTGAAATCATACGAGCGTCTTTCTCAATGAGCGCAGTGCTCAACCAAGAAGTTAGGTCCCCTAATCTGTGCATTGAATTTGTGGCGTCAAGCTTCTACATACACCGAGTGATTTGAACAATTGGGAATGTCAAGCAACAAAATTAATGATAGTTATCATTTGCAGTCCAGGATGATGTTAGAGAAGGAAAAAAAATCGGAGGAATCAGATTGAAAATAAAAGAAGAAGGAAGGTTAGATTTGTCTTTTAACTGAAGGAAAACGTAAAAACGACTGACGATAACATTTTTCCCGTTGCCATCTGTTTAAACCCCAATCCAAGGTATGAAAGAGTCACCCGCGATAACCTCGAGTTAAAATGATGTTATTTTTTACAAGAAAAATAATAATAATAATAATAATTAATTCTTCATTTATTTTTTTAATATAGAAAGCAGTTCAGACCCTGAGGTAGTCAGGTCTCGGATGGCTCCCTCGATCAGGATAATTCTGGTTTTATAACATTATTCTAATCTTTTTAATAAATAAAAACTCAATCCCTCTAGTGTAATAAAGTCAAGGGCAGCAAGCATTTTAATGCCTTTTAAGCAGCTAAATAACAAGTGAGAATTGAAAATTTGTCAATTTAGTTTTTTCATATCTAGCAGTAAAGATTTTTCAAAATAAAAAACAAATGTCTTGCTTTTTTTGCCTTAAAAATAATAAAAGTAAAAAATGACCCGAACACTGCTCTTATATTGTTTATAGTGGAGAATTTGAAAAATAACTACTTTGATATTACGGCCTAAAAAGCTTACTAAAAATTGAATCTTTTATAAAAAATAACCACATTATAATTATAACAACAACATTATGGCTTGCAAATAATAATAATAACAACAACAATTACATTATGGCTTGCCCAAAAAAAAAACAAACAGAGTATAAATGAATAGTTCTTATAAATGAGCCACAGCAACACGATTTTCCCGGCAGACACGAGCTCCTTCAGAACATGAAGAGCATGGACCGAAGTTGAATTTAAATGAATTTATGTTGAGAGGACTGAATCATCTGTTAACAAATGATTGAAAGTAGAGAGGCATGGCAAGCAAAATGTTTTATGGCGCAGAATTCACATCCAAGATATGGACATCTGAAAAGTGGTGGGTTATATTGCCCTCACCAAATCAGTGAACGAAAGGTCAGGTAGAATTATCTACAGGTAAAGGTTTCAACTGTCCATCAAGATCCAAGACCTACTCTATTCCGTTAATCAGAGCACCATCATTACTACCTTGTAAACCCAGAGCATCACTTCCAACCTTGCGCTCTTCACTCGGAAGTGCTGTTGCATTAGACGGAACATGTCCATTGCTGTCACCAAAGGCGTCCCCTCCACCATTCACATCAGGCTCAACAATCTGATTGTACCCGCCAACCTCTTCACCATTCACATCAGGCTCAAAATGCCCATTGATGTCAGGAACCGCATCCACATCACCACCTTTTAAACCAAAAGCATCACTTCCATCCTTGCCCTCTTCACTTGGAAGTGCTGTTGCATTAGATGGAACATGTCCATTGCTGTCATGAACTGCGTCCACTTCACCATTCACACCAGGCTCAACATGTCCATTGTTGTCAGGAACCGCATCCACATCACCACCTTTTAAGCCACTTCCAACCTTGCCCTCTTCACTCGGAGGTGCTGTTGCATTAGATGGAACATCTCCATTGCTGTCACGAGCCACGTCCACTTCACCGATCACACCAGGCTCAACAACCTGATTACACCCACCAACCTCTTCAGCATTCATATCAGGCACAACATGTCCATTGCTGTCATGAACTGCATCCACATCGCCACCTTTTAAACCAAAAGATTCACTTCCAACATTGCCCTCTTTGCTCGGAGGCGTTGTGGCATTGGATGGAACATGAACATTGCTGTCATGAACCACGTCCACTTCACCATTCACACCAGGCTCAACAATCTGATTATGCCCAACAACCTCCATAGCCCAAGTGCTACTCTCATCATGCATGTAAGCAGGATAAAAACAGGCATTGCTGTAAGGAAACGGTCCAGCTGCAGGCATGAATGGGACGGTAGGGACCATTGGTGAAACACCCAAAACAGGTCTTCCAAATCCTACCAGAGGATACACACCCCCATAGAAACTCATTCCATAAAAATACCCATGAACACCAGCGTACATCAGAAAAGGAGTATAATGTGGGTCGTGTGTTGGACCATAGAAAGGGTGATTTTCAGGTTCCGGACCATTATCAGCGAAGCCATTTGAACTACAGCTACCGATATCACCATTTACTCTATCTTTTGGCACAGCCTTCTTAACCTCCACTGTCTTGCCATTCAACTCATGAAAGCTGTTGCGCATAACCTTGGCGACAGATTCTGCGGAATCAAAGGTGACAAACCCAAAGCCCCTAGGCTTGTTTGAACTATCCTGCATCACAACTGCATCTACCGTCCTACCAAACTTTTCAAAGTAATTTCTAAACTGTTCATCAGTTAGACTAGATGATAAACCTCCCACAAATATCTTCTTGGTCCTATAATAATTTTCATTGCCAGCACTATTATCACTATTCATTCCCGACCCATTGCTAGCAGTTTCCTGGTTACCATAGGGGTGGCGCTGCCGGTGCTCTTGGTGTTTTTCAGTTTTGGGTATTGCTTTCTTCACTTCTACCTGCAAAAAAAACAAACAAACAAACAGCATCAACCAACTAAACAACCAAGACATGCAAACAAAAAATCCCTTTCAAAATAATATCCTAACACGTCCAGAATTCAAGCCAGCCTTCCATGAACAAAATAAATCAAACAACAAAGAGCCCCAGTTAAATTCTATTTCCACTTTGATTGAAACAAACAGCAAACAAATTCATAATTTAACATTAAACACACAATTAACACATAAATAAGACCAAGAAAAAAAGCAAGAAACTGACCGTTCTTCCACGAATAACATGGCTATCTTGAAGAGCCCTGGTAGCAGAAGCAGCATCAGAGAACACAACAAAAGCAAACCCTCTCGGTAATTTAGTGATTTGGTCCTTGGCCACCAGTAAATGCGAAACGACACCGTATTTACTGAAGTGATCTCTTAGAGTGTCCTCGCTCGTCCCTCGCGGTATACCTCCCACAAAAAGCTTCCTTTCCTCAACATCCATCGGCAATTGCAATAATCAAGCAAGAATTTTCAAAAAGCCCCAAATTCGAAACCCCAATTTGAAAACATAAACCCTAAAAATCTTGGATTCTAGGGTTTCTAAAACTCGCCCCTGTTTCGCGTTTTTACCTTTTTACCGGGTACGATAAGCTTGATATGGGCTTCGCAAAAATCCGCATTAAGTAAATACCACGCAAGGAATTTGGTTTACAGCAGTAGTCTTCACTACTTCAAACTCTGTATCAAACCAGGCCCCGAAACCCTGATTGTTTTGGGCTAATTGGGCTGATTTGGGTCCATAGTGTTAGAGTGTTCTTTGTTCTTACACCCATTAAAAAAAAAAATCACTGCGCGTCAAAAACTATTTTATTCTTTTCTCTTGTATCTATTTTTGTAATTACACAACGTTATAAAACTCGGATTGACCTACAAATGGATTGATTGACATGTCGTCCAAGGATATGATCCTGAAAAGCTCAATTGAAAAACCATGGTTTTTTTTACCAGAATAATATTATTTCACGGGTTTAGTTAAATTTAAAAGTTGGATGGAAGGGAGCGATCGATTTGATTAATTAAAAAATAGCTTGTTATAAAATTCTAGGTCATTTGACCCCTTTGCTTAATTAATTACTCTCATTAAAAAAAATGAACAACCAACTCTTACTAATTATATATGTTTATAATGAAATGTTGGTACATTTAAAGAAAAAAACACAGCCGATCTTCCTGACTGATAAATTCCATAATAACTAGTTTGTATTCGCAATAAATTCTTTAGGCATTAAAAGTTTTGTTTGATAATAATTTTTGTGCGGTTAATTTGATGTTTAATCAAATACTAATACTGATTTAATTAATTTTAATATTATCAATTTAAAATAAAAAATTTAAATATTCTATGTGACTGCGTGAGAATAGAAAAAAGAAATACCTGGAGCTTATCGTAACATGCTTGAAACCTTTAACATCTATTGACAGAAGTGACTACCGAGACGGGTCCTTCTAGGTTCATGCAAGCGGCTCCAGTAGAGTCCACAATGCAAAACCTTAGATGTTATTTGTTTGAATTTTAAATATGAGGCCATGAGCTGTGAGCTTTTGTGATCTATTTTTGAAACCTCAAGACCCTAAACTAGACACTCAGTATCTCATTTATATCTCATTCAGATTAATTGAGTTTTTCAAGATTATATCTCATTCAAATTAATTAAAATTAAATTCATTTTAATTTCAAATTTCTCGATTAACCAGTATACTTATCCGATGTCTAAGAATTTTATTGTTTTTCTTTTGTTTTCTTTTTTGTTCACTCAATGGTGTACCTATTAACAAAAATCTAAAAGGGCTCAATGAATTACGAATAGTTTTTGAGTAAATTCATTTTGAATCGAAGCAATGTAACAATAATTTTGTTTTTCATTGTTCTTAATAATTGTCATTGTGCTTGGGATAAAATCATATTTTTCATATAATACAGATGTTATTTGGGAATTAATTGAGAACAAAGTTATTATTTTATGTATCTTATATAAAGTAAAAATATTATATTACCTCTGAAAGCTCAAAGAACTGACCTCTAGTTCAGAGACATTTGCGTCTCTGTAGGTTTTTTTCCATGATAAAATAACATTTACGCCCTTCATGCCTAGAAAATATCAGCCTCTATAATAAGGATTGTTATGTATTTACATATTTTATGTTCAATAGATTTAATGTTTGCTCTTCAACTTCAAAAAAATAAAAGATGTCTTGGGATGATTTTTTGGTTTCTCCATCATTTTATTTTTGAAATATTTGTATATCCTTGTGATTTTTTTGATAATTTTCATTTTTACAATATTAATACATTAATAAAGTAGGCATGCGATGGTCACATATGAGTTGGCGCATTATCACCCCTCGCACCCTTCTAGTAGCACGTGAGGGCATGCATGATGATCAAAAAACACTAGTTGCCTGCTCACTTAATGCGAAAGATGACAGCGCATCTACTAGGATGACATGTTTTGTCATCTGAATGATAGTTTGATGACGATCGGTTTTTTTCCTCATCCTTTTATTTTCTTTCTTCAAGCCTTGGTATATGTGTAAAACTTTGACAAATTCAATTGTACCCTCCAATATATATATGTTTTGTATTTGGTTCTTATTGTTTTATTTATATTTTTTTTAGATTTGATGCTTTTTTGAGTATGTTTTATTTTTAATTTTGTTTATAGTCATTTAATCTTGTTAGATTTTTTTATCAAATCCAATCCTGATTCTCATAATTATTATTTTTTTTTGTCCTTAGGATTTTAATTTAATTTTAGTTGGTTTTCAATTTTGTTCCTTATATTTTCTATTACTTTTCTTTTTATTGTCATTTTCTTAATTTATTTTCTTTTTCAGTTTAATCTCTTATTAGTTTCTTTCAATCATTTGCATGCATTGTTTAGCCCTTGATGTTTTAATTTTAGTTTTTTTTAATGGTTTAATATTTGTTGTGGTTTTTTTATATTTGTCTTTTATAAAGTAATCTCAATCTCATATCCTGGTCTGCTAGTTCAGACAATACACCCGATTTAAACTCAATCTTTTTAGGTTTTTTTTTAAATTAAATTTTATTTTATTGTTGTCATTTAATATTAAATTATCGAGCCTCGAGCTTTTTAATTTGTTTTACTTTTCTTTTTGTTGAGGTATCCTTGCCTTATATTTCAGACTGTAAGATAGGTGAGCTAGCTTGAAATGATTTGTTTTTTTCAAATTTATCCTTTGCCATTTAATTATTGACTCTTGAATGTGTTTTATTAAATGTTATTTAAAAACAAATACATGTGTTAGCACATAACGGGTTATCCATAGTGCGAGGTGGTAAAATTAATCCAAATTAACTCATATTTTTTTACTAAATTTTTTTTATTTAATTTTGGTATTTTTTGCTAAGTTTTTTTAGAAGTTTGATTTTTTTCTAGATTATTTTTATGATTTTGTTTTCAATTTTATTATTATGCATTGAATAATCTTCCTTTGAACTTTGTTATTTTTTTTTATTAGGATGAGTAAGTGGTAAGTTAACTCAAATTAGTTTGTTTTTTTAATTTGTTTTGTTTAATTTTTTTTGCTGGGTATGTGTTTTGAATTTTTTTTATTTTAATCCCATATCACAGGTTATATATTTATTCAGTCAAGTCAAGTTGACTTCGAATAATTCTTCGGTATTATATATTTTTTAATTTTTTAAATTGGTTCCAGTTGTGTTTTAGTAAATTTAATTTAATTTATCTTGTATTATTGCTGAATATTATTTTTTCGCTATAAGAAAAAAAAAAAAATATATATATATATATATAGTACAAATGGCTAATTTATAGCAGTAAAAGGACACTGTATGATAGGGCATCCAGGTTTCTCAAAAGGTAAGATGGGATCGAGAAATATGAAAAAACAAGTCACAAAGCTTGAGCAGAGAGACTCAATCCCGAGATCCTGTCACATGCTGTGGGTTGAAGCTCAATGCTAAAGTAATAAGCAACGCCATTAGGCATTAATATAATCCTATGATCTTATGCGTGCGAATATTCGGTAATTGAGCCAAAATTATTATTTCTAGGATACGTGAACACTAGAATCCACCTTAATCATTTATCTAATCAATTCTTTACAAATTTCCAATCCTTTGCATGTGATATAAACCTTTTTTTTTAATTTAATATAACCATGTTGTATTAAATTAAAAAAGATCCTTAAACAAATATGCATGATGATTTACAACTATTCACGTTGAATCATGTGGTAATAGCAATAACGATTGGGTTTTGATTTTAGAGCCTCCTGCCCTCCTGGCTTGCATGTATTGAGTACCGAAGATAACCTCGTCGAGGGGCAAAAAATACTCCGAATTAACCTGTGACGGGCATCGCAGAAATGGCAGATTAGGGTTTTCGACACCCTAAAGTGCACTGGGGAATTAACAAGGATGGTCGAGGTCTTGTGGTCTGGTGACTAAAATACACAAAAATATGAAGGGAGAAGCATCTCTAGGTGGTATTTATTGTTAACATTTCTGGGGTTTAACAATCTTGCTTTTGTTAGTTATACCTTTGTCATCTTCTCGTTGCAAAACATTTAGAGTATACAATACTCAGAGCACATACTTCATAAAAGCATATCTTTTCCTGGGTTTTGGGTCCTCACTGGTTTCAAGGTATTGCCAGTGGATGCCATGAGTGAAGGCAGCCCAAGCTCCAACTCAAGTCTATGTTCAAGTCTTATTGGTGATGATTTTTCTTTGGACTAATCCACGGTTTAGCTAGTTGCTTCATGAGTTCTCTTGGGTATTTTATGGGTCTGTTCAGTAACATCCAATGATGTTATTTTTTTTATTATTTTCATTTCTTGTCGGATTTTTTCTAACAAAAATTTGGAAAACGTCAAAGATAGATAGATAAGAGTTTTTATATTAAAATAACAATAAATATGTCAAGATTATAACATTTTTTGTGAAAAATTGAAACCATAAATTTCAATAATCTTTGTATTTGTAATAATCTAATTATGAGATATTAATTTTATAATATTTAGATTAAATATTATCATGAAAATGTTATTTTTTTGAAAAGGAAAAGGTTATATTCATCACTTGAAAAGGATAAATAATCTATATTAAATTTTAATATTTTGCATTGCAAAAAATTTGCATTGTTCATGTTTTAGTTTTATTTTCACTTGAAGACTTTGCGAATATAAAATGTGAAAAACCTTAAAAATGTGTTTTCTAAAACTCTTTACAAATTTAGAAAAATAAAAGCTGATTTTTAAGAGTTTCTCAATTTTCAAATAAAAAAATATTACATTTGAACATGAAAGTCCAACCAACTCTGATTTTTTGTAAAGTTAAAATATCATTTTATTTTCAAATACTCTCGTTGACCCAATTTCCTGGTTAGTTTGGAAAACCTAATTTTATCTCGTTGTTCTCTTTATAATGGCTTTTGCAATCTTGATTAATTATTCAAAGCTGACATTTCAGGTATAATGATGATTTATAACAGTAGTGTTTAATTTTATGATAATATTGTGTTTTTAAAGAAAAAATCAAATTATTTTTGATGTTTTTTTAATTATTTTAATGTACTAATGTTAAAAATTAAAAAAATATTATTTTGATATATTTCTAAATAAAAAGTATT